GCCAGCAGGGGTAAGGGCAGCTATTCCAGACAACAGATCGACTCAACCGCAGCGTACAGTTCAGGAAAGAAACACAAACTTGGGATGCTAAACCACACAGAAATGCATTCGGACAACAAAATGAGAAAGAGAGGGAGTGAAGGAGGCTCGGGGTCGGGGGCGGAGAGGAAGAAGAAGGAGCGGGGAAGGTGGAAAGGAGGGAGGAATGAACCAGAAAAATTGTCGGGAGTTAAGAAAACCAAATGACAAACCAGGAAACACAGCTTTGTAGCTCATTTGGAGAAAATGCAAGTTACAAATGAGTAGTCACTAAAACAAAGAAAGAAAAGGGAGGGGGAGAAAACCAACCAGAGCAAGACTGAGAGAGAGAGAGAGAAAACCACATTCAAACCAAGCAGAGTGGCGGGGCTTATCTGGAGATGGGAGCGAGCGGGCGCACAGCTGAGCCGGGTACCTACCTTCTCAGCGGTCAGGGACAGGAATGCAATAATAAAAAAGAAAAGAAGGTCTCCGCATTGGGAATGCAGAACGGGGGAAAGACAGTGACTCTAAGCTGCGCACCCACTCTGAATCAGCACGTGGGCAGCCAGGGTGGCTTTGGATCTAGCCCCAGGGGTTTGAGGGGGCTCCTGCCCAGCCATTTCAGTTTGCTTTTTTAATTTACCCACAGGCTCCAAAAGCCAAGCTTTCCTTAACTCTTTAAACCACAGAAAACCTCCGGAGGGCATGCAGGAAGCAGCTGATGGAACCAGAACCACAGGGTGGGCTGAGGAGGGGCTGGCAGCATGGGGAGAGAGGCCCATGTCACAGGAGAGAGATGGAGAGGGAGAGAGAAAGAGACAGAAACACACACAGAGAGAGAAATAGACAGGGAGAGAGACACAGAAAGACAGAAGGAAACCAAGAGACAGAGAGGCAGGGAGAGAGAGAAAGGTGGGCCCATACAGAAAGAAGAGAGAAAGCTGTTTAAACAAGGCTAGTCAGAGTGGAAGGGGTGGAAGGGGACCCGTGCATTTAAAAGGGAAGGCAACTGCAGATTTAATTTGTTGGATTGATCCAGCCTCAGTCAACCGCACTCCCTTTCCTTCTGGCTTCAGCATCATTTTAGCAAAATTCATCTCTCCTGCCTTCATCCTGGGAGAGACGCCAACATGTCCCTTCCTGTTCTGACTGCCCCACTCTCTTTCCTGGGGGTGGGTGCTCTTTCCCGGGGGGAGGCCTGGGATGAGGCAGGTCAGGGAGTGCCAGGGGCACCTCTCCTTGGGGTTCCCCTAGGCTGCCCATTTCACGATGAGATTTGAGCCAGAGCCAGAGGCCAGAGAGAGTCCAGAGGCCTTGCCTACGAACCTTCTCTGCCACCCTCACCAAACAGTGAGGCTTCCCTCTACTCCTCCAGTGCTGGCGACAGGTGAAGCCAAGGCAGGTGGCCCTACTTCTAAGGCTACAAACCCTGCACACCCTGTCTGTGCAAGAGCAAGGCTAGCACCATTCTGTGCTCTTGGGGGCTGGAGGGAGCCAGGTAAAGGCACCAGGCGAGACTGGATGGAAGGACTTGTCCAGTGAGGTCTTGGTCTCAGCATCTTATGCGTTCCTCACATGTCACGTGACCCTGGGCAGCTCCCTCCCTCTCTATGCCTCCTGATTTACTTCCCTACATGATTTACTTCCCCACACGTGTGAGGGCTTAGGGCTCCCCGAGTTGCTAAAGCAGCAATTATATAGAGTCGGCCTGTGCAACATGGGCTTGCCTAAACCCTGCAAGCCCAGTGCTGGGGAGCTGAGAGAGCTGAGAGCATGCTGTAGACATCTGGAGAAGTCCCCAGGGGGAAGGCAGGAGCTGAGACAACTAGCACCCACCTCCCAAACCCTCCTTCCCTGCTCAGGGCTCCTGGAGTGTGCTTTCCATGGACCACCCTCTCCACATCTTGGCTGTGGCTGGGGGTCTTGAGGTTAGAGGGCTGGGGTCTCCTTTTGGATCTACCTCTAAAAAGCTGTGTGATTTTGAGCTGGTCACTTGACCTCTCTGAGCTGCAGAGAGCAGTAAGCAGCAGAACCCAGCAATCCCGGGGGGTTCAGCCCTGGCCTGAGATAGGACAACTAAGAGATGTGTTAGGAACCAGCACCCCACTGGCCTCAGTCTCAAGAACAGGATCAACCCACCTCTTGCCTCCAGTCTCTTGCTGGGAGTGTCTGGCTTTGAAGCCGCCACCTGAGTTAAACTCTCTCCAGTGTCTTCAATTCTCTCCTCTAGCGCCCCCTAAGGATCTGAGGCCTGGCACAGACGGTGCTGAGCAGCTCGTCCCCATCATGCCATCTTCTACTAGACAGAACTGAGAGACACAGGAAGCTCACTGGCACAAGACTCTCCTCGCCCCTGGGTCTCGCAGCCTCTGCCAAGCTGCCTTCTAGACAGAGACACAGATGCGTGGTCTGCACCACTTTTGTTAATTTAGAAGCTGAAGCAGTTCCAAGGGTGTGCCCGGGGGTGAGGGGAGGGATGGCTGCAGATGCAGGGTTGGCAGGGGAGTCATTTTTTAGGCGTTATCTTCCCTTTTAAATTCTGATCACAGAGGAAAAAAAATAAGTATATAGAGATATGTATATGCTTAATGTTCACTGGAGATTCAAAACCACCTCTGCATTAGGAGGAGAGGTTCCCACAGAAACACGCACAAAAGCAAAATTCTAGGACAACATAGAAGAGAGAAAAACCCCAGAGAGCTAGTTTCCATTTCTGTACATTACAAAAGGAAAAAAGAAAAAAGAAAGGAAAAGGAAATACAAACAGAAACAAAATAACAAGAAAAGTTACATAAACTTCCCCACCCTCTTCCCTTGCAGCTAAATGAGAAATGGAATCACAATATTACCACGTTTCAAATGGGAGGCTAAAAAAACAAACAAAAACATAGACGGGGTTAAAAACGGTGAGCTTTCCTTTTTTTCCGTTTGTTTCTCTCTCTTTTTTTTAAAGGCAGCGTCCTAGAATCCCCCCACCGGCTCCAGTATACTTTTTCCCAAAGACTTTTTTGGTGAATGATGCCTGCAGACATCTGGAGAAGTCCCCAGGGGGAAGGCAGGAGCTGAGACAGGAGCTTTGCCTCCTGCAGGCAAAGAGGGCATCTGAGTGCAAGTGAGAGGCTTGGGATGTTCTCAAGTCCCAGATCTCCCAGGGCCCGAAGGGTTGGGGAGGATTTGGGGACCATGCTTTGTGAAAGGAATGACAAAGTGCTGTCTCCTAGGAAACTCCCAGGGCAGTGCCAGAAGGAGCCCCATTTGGGGAGGGAGACAGACTAGGGTGCTGCCTAGGCTTCCTGCCCAAGGCTGGAGGCCAGGTCACCTCCCCTGACTGCTCTCTCTGGGGTCCACCTACCTGCCATGGCCATTTCCCTGCACATGCCCAGGGCCCTTGGGGGTACTGCTCTGGCCTCCAGGGCCAGGGAGGATCCAGCAGTGGGAAGGGGCCTCCTTTCTGTCCCAGCTGAGAGATCCTGCATTTCTATGCCTCTCAGAGGCTGTGAGGCTCCTATGAGAAAGTGTCTGGGGCACTGTGCCCATGGGGGTGGGGGTGGGGACGCTCCTTTCTAGGTTTGCCGAGGTTGGGCATCATCTCCGGGGTCTATGGCACCAGTCCCTGTCCTGGCCATCCTCAGCTACCTCTGCAAGCCCTCTCCCACCCTCAAGACAGATCCAGGGACGTGGTGTGATCTCAGGAGCCTGGCACCCTATCTGGGTGGGGCAGTCTTGCAGCAGGTAATGTCCTTAAACAAAAATTAACCTGGAGACCAAGAGCCTTTTGTCAGCTGGCTCTGGCCTTCCTCACTGAGGCAGTGGGAGTAGGGGTGTTTGAGAAAAGAGAGGGAGTGAAAGGAAACAGCCAAAAATCAAAATGAAACTGACCAACATGGACATGGACATGTCTGCTGCCGAGACCTGAGGTCTGGGGATGGGCCGCCCCTTCCCACTGAGGCTTCTGGGGCAGCCTGCAGGTCTGTACCCCAAGGCCCCTGTGCCCACCCAGTGCCCCTGCTGGTACTTCAGCCCCCTCTCCCTACGTGGGCTCTAGCCTGTCCTTTAAGATCAACAGACAAAAGGGGATGTGGGCCTCCCCCAGGCCTGGGAGAGCCCCCTACCCTGGCCTGCCCATCCACATGGGAAAGGCTGAGAAGCTTGTGCGCTCTGCAAGCTCCTACCATCACCACACCTGCCTGTGGGTCTCAAGGAGGCTGTGCCTCTCCTGGAGGATGGGTGGGGGCAGTTTTTGGGGTGGTGTTGGTGTGGAGTCTCTGAGGGAGCGATGGGGGTGCTGGGAGGTGCCTTAGGAAGGATGGGCCATGGGAAGCAGAACCTGTAGGTTTGAGACACCTGTCCAAGCACAGGCAGTGGTGATAAAGGACAGACTCTCCTGGGAGCAGGGACTCGAGAAATGCAGTTCTATGGCTGCAAGGGGACTGAGGTGGGGGAGGGGTCTGAAAGAGAGGGAGGGGGCTCCGGAGGTGGTTGAGGGAGGGAGGGCACTCAGAGAGGGGGAAAGGGCTTGGTGGGGAGAGGGAGGCTCAGGACTCAAGTGATGCCCAGGGGAGAGCCTGTCTTTTGAATCCTGTTCCTGACTATGACCCCTACCAATGTCCAGGCCCCCTCCCACCCCAATATGCCTGGGCAGAGGGAGGCAGGAGACCTTGGTTCCTCTCCAGTTCTTTACCCAACTGGCTGAGTGCAGCATGGTCAACCTTCTCTGGCCTTCAGTTTGCCAAAGTCAAGGGTGGCCCAAGCCTGCAGGCGCCCCCCACCTGACACTAGGGCCAGGCGGGCTCAACAACCGACCACTTCGGGCCCTTCCCATGCAGGAAGGGCGCATGGAGCGGGGAAGCGGCCCCGCCCCCGTTACACACTCACTGCCCGCTTCAGGGCGGTGACCCTACCCCGACCCAGCACGGCCCGACCCGGCCCGGCGCAGCCCGCGCGGCGCGGGAACCCTCTGCAAAGCGAAGCGTACGTACATTGGGCGGGCTGTGCGCCGAGCCGGGGCGGCCCCCGTGCGCTCCGCTCCGCTGCCTGCTGCCGCCGTTCTGCTGGGGCGACCCCCATCCGCTGCCGCCGGACGGGGAAGGCGACCGGCTCCCGCTGGACCGCTGGCTGCCCGTCTTCCGCCCTTCGTCTCGGCGCTTGGGGCTCAGCCTGGGGGGCAGAGGACAGGGGGGAAGCCGGCGTGAGACGCCCTCTCTGCAAGCGGCTGCTGCCCCTCGGGACGGGCAGCCCCCCACCCGCCCTCTCACTGGGCTGGGAAACCCTTCCATTTAGAGAGCAAGGTCCCAGCCCTCACACTACCTCGATTTCCACTTCAGGGTCTGGGGCGCCTTAGGGCAGGGCGGCAGCTCTTCCTCACCCAGTGTCAGGTGGGCACCAGCACCCCTGCCTCCACCAGCACCCCTCTCTCTCCAGCCCTTGGGGGTGTTTAATCTGCAAGTCCCCTCCTCCCAGCAGAGAGCCAAGCTCAGCCACACCTTGAGCATTCCCCGGGGGCCCAGGACCTACCTGCTGGGTGATCTGGAACCACTGTAGTGGGAGGAGACTGAGGGGCACTGGGAGCTGCCGCTACTGTGGCGATGAGACCTGCGGCCTGGCGACTCCGCGTGTGGCCTGGGAGAGAAATCAGCCTGTGCCTGAGTTCTGCCAACCTCCCCATGGAGGATCCCTGTGAAGGCCTGGTGGAAATCACTGCTGACTGACCCCTCCCTCCATAGTCTCCTACAAAAATAGCCCAGCTGGTCCACGTGGGTCATTTGTTGGAATTAGGAAAAAGCACCCTTTTCTCTAGACAGCCCCAGCCCCCCAAGACCTCCCTGCCCCTCTGCTGGTGCTCTTGTGACTGGCGTGGGGGAGGGAAGTGGGGGAGTCACAAGGACTGAGCTTGAAAGGCCCCCGGGCTGGGAGGCAAGAGACCTGGTTCCAGTTCCAGCTCTGCCCCCGACTCACGGTGGCCCTTGGCTTCCTCTTTGGGTCTGAATTTTTCCATCTGGGCAGGAGTGACAAAATGAGCTATCTCCAAGGGCCTGATTCTGGGATTCTAGAAGGCCAGGCTTGCTGTGTGGGGGAGAAGGGAGGGGCTGGAGAGTGCAGAAGGGTGCTCACCTCTTCCTCTCTTTGTTCTTCTCTTTTCTTTTGCTCTTGGGGCTTCGAGATCTGCAGAAAGCAGAGGCTACAGTGACAGCATGTGACAGCATGGCCTGAGTCAGGCAGGGGCAGGTGGGGCCTCTGAGCCCTGGAGCCGGGCTGTGCCCTCGTGTGGACCTGAGATTCCTTCCTCTCTGGGACCTGAGCCTCCCTGGCTGGAGTGGACTTGCCCATCCCGCCCCACTGCCTTGGTCCCTTTCACTCGGTCAGGTCTGTTCCTTCCTTCTCCTGTACGTCCTGGCCCATGATCACCTCCAGCCCAGACCCCCAACTGCTGCTCCCTCTGGGGGAGCCAAAGGTAATGTGGACACCACCACAGAAGGAAGGATAACTTGCTTTTTCTTCTGGCATTGGTCTCGGGACAGGCCCCTCTGATGAGTCACCGTGGTGGGGGTGGCCCCTTCACACCTTGTTTGTGTCCTCTGTGCCCCAGGTCCCCTCAGATGGGGCTCTCTCAGGCAGAGCCCAGGCCTCCTGCCTCTCTGTCCTCTGAGACTGTGGCCCACCCTGGGCCAGCTCACCAGGGGTTTAGGAAAGAAATGGTTTTCCTTGGGCACGGTCTCCCTGCTTTGGGTTACTCCTCTGGATCTTATCCAGGGCTGCTGAAGCTTCTTATCCATCCCATCCAGCTCTCTGGGCTGGGCCCACAGCCCAGCTCCTTCTGCCTTTGACAGAAGAATTAAGAAGCTTCTGATTAGGCCTCGAAGGTCTCACCTGACCCCTGGGCCCCGCAAGTCTCTCAGCCCCGCCCTTCCTGACGCCACTAGATTCCAGCTCTGTCCTCCAGTCCTGAACAGACGCCTCCTTCTGACCAAATATGAGCTGATGCTAAGAAACACAGGAGTGTGTTTCTCACAGGAGCAGAGTGGGTCGCGGGCAGGCCTGGGAGGCCAAAGGTTTGGGTCCTAGAACCCATTCTGCCTGCTTTGGGCCTCAGTCTCCCCACCTGGAGCTGATCTGGCCCTAGCTCACCTCTAGGTCCTTCATAGGACTGAGGGGAGTTGGCCAGAGGATCTGTGCAAGCTGATGGTGACCACTTGGGGGCAGTAGGGGCTCACACTGGCCCATGAGAACTGGGTGGGGTGAGATGGGAAATTGGGGAAATTGGAAGGCCAGGATTCGGGGTTTATTTAGGCTCCTCCTTCCCTACCTGGCAAGTGACCATGGGCAAATTCCCACTGCAGGAATGGGGCTGGGACTCTGCCCCTCCTCAGGGCTGCCGGGAGGGGTCTGGCTCCTATGCCAACAGTGGGCATGCAGCTGTCCCACATCTTCCTTCCCTCTATGCTGAGTTTTCTACTTTCCCCACCCCTGCCTCTGGGCTCCTGCCTTTCACCTCCTCCTCTCCCCTCCCTCAGTCTGTCCTGAACAAGTCACTGTCCTGCTCAGAACCCCATGCTGGCTCCTGGCCCTACGTGGGTAGAGGCCAGCTCCGTAGCCTGGAAGTCGGTCTTGCTGGGGGCTGACACCTGCCCCCCAGGAACCCCACCTCTAGCCACAGCCTGCCCACCCTGTCTCCTACCTACTGGGCCTTCCTTCTGCCTGGCATGCCCTTTCCCTCCAAATTCAGGGTCCTGATGCTTCTGTCTTCCCAACTGGCACTTCCACAGACTCACCCCTTGGAACTACCATGTTGTCTGGAAATTCTTGGGGCCCTCACAGCAAGGCTGACTCATGAGGCAGACAAGAGTTGCAAATAATTGGCTCTCATCCTCTTCCCCGCACCCTCTGTGCCCTGCGTGGCTCTGGGAAGGAGTCCCTGGAGTGGGAGGATGGAGCAGGCTGGGACCCTTGCAAATCCTCTCCCAGCATGGCTTCCTTTGGGCCTTGGTCCCTGCAGGGGGCGCTAGCCTCTGTCCACACCTCCCTGCACAGGGCACCGCTCACCTGTGCCGTCTCTTCCTCCGGGACCCAGAATCAGACCTGTAGGGCAATAAAACGGTTCTCTTGAGGCCTCCTGGGGTGGCCAGGGGACACCAATCTGCACAGCCCTGGTCCAGGGCCCCACAGAAGTGAGAGGAGGCCGCGGGGGGTGGGGGGGCGGTACCTGTCTCTGCGGTGCTTCTTCACGCTCTTCTTCTTCTTGCGCAGAGGTGAGGTGCTCCCACAGCTGCAGACACAGAGTAGGGGCTCAGGTGAACTGGGGCCCCGGAGAGGGAGGGGCAGCCGGAAATGGCTGGGGAAGTCTGTGTGCCTGGGGCATCAAAGCTGGAAAGGGGATTCCAGGCCATGAAGCCAAATGCTTATTGTACAGAGGGAACCAGCCCCCTTGGCATCTAAGCAAGGACTATTTCAAACCCAAAGGTTAGAGGCTCCAATGGTGAGATTTCTGGCCTCTGTGGTGAAAAGCTGGCACGTTGGTGGTGTCCAGGGTGCAGGGGGGCAGGCCTCCTGCCTCTGGGGGATGGCCTTGGAGTCTCTCCCACCCACAGACATGCCCCTCCGACCCAGCCAGGTCTCTGCCCGCCTTCATCACTGACCTGCACTCCGAGTCTAGTCTCCTCTTTTTGCTGAGGGCCAGGGGAGAAAGGACAGACAGACAGTTGGACTGAGTTAGCTGGGGCCCGGGGTGTTCCCCAGGGTCTCATTCAGGGAAGAGGAAGGGGGACATGGAGATGGGGAACCACAGCTGAGACCCAGCCACATCCCTCCTCCCCAGGCCCTCACACTTGAGCTGGTGGGTGCAGGACAGCTGGGGGAGGGTGCAGGGGGACTCCCAGCAGGTGGACGGTAACACAGGGGCCGCATCAGTGTGTCCAGCTCCGAGGCCGGTGAGTGCCGATAGGGGGCCTCAAGATGGAGAGGGGGCTTGACGAAGGGGAGGGGCTCAGTGGGGGGGGTTGCGTGAGGGGGAGGGTTGTTGGTGAGCACTTCGTGGGGGGCAGCACAGTGAGGGGGAGGGCTTCAATAAGGGCAGACGGGGCTCAGCGAGGGGCGGAGCTCACAAATACACCGTTGGCCCCCTGCCAGCAGAGGGGTGGGCACCTGGGGGCCCCACTGCGCCCCTCCCGCCGGCCTCCCGCCCCGTGGGAGGCCCTCACCGGCTTCTCCTGTGGCCGCCTTTCTTTTTCTTCTTCTTCTTGGGAGGGGGCGACGCCGAGCTGCTGGACCAGTGCTTGGGCCTAAGTGACAAGGGGGGGGGGGGGGGGGGGGGGGGCAAGCGGAGGTGAGGGGGAGGGGCAGGCCCGCTCCCGTCCCCTATCCCTGCCCGGCCCGGGGCGGCGCTGACCTGTACCCCCGGTGCCCACGGTAGCAGGCGGCCGGGCAGTCGCAGTCCACCGGGCCGTCGTCCTCGTCCAAGGGCGCGTACTCCAGGCCTGGCTCGGCGCCCTCGGTCAGCCGCGGGGTCTCCGCCACGCTGCCGGCGACAGGGCCGCTCAGCACCCGCCCCCCGCCGGCCCAGCCTCCGCGCGGCGCCCCGACGCCCGGGCGAGAAGGGGCTGGCGGCGGCGGGGTCTGCGCTGCGACCCCTACAGCGTCAGGTGGGGATTTGGGGAACCCAATGGGGAGTCTCCCTTCCAGGCCCCCCCAGCCTCAACGGTGCCAGATTTTGCAAAAGAGAAAAAAGCACCAGGCCCTCCCTCCTCACTTAGCCCTCACCCCTTCTTAGTTCTCACCCTCCTAGGGAGCCCCTTGCTCCTTAGTGAGACCCCTCCCCTCACCGAGTCCACTCCTGGCACTGATTCTTTGTCCCTCCGTCTCATTCATTGCACCCCACTCTCCCTCACGGAGCCCCGTTCCCCTTCGTCGAGCCCCTTTCATGGATCTGGTCCCCGGTAACCCCACTGCCCTATTCCTGAGCCCCTTCCCCTCGCTGAGCCTCCCTGCGCCCTCGCTGAGCCCCTTCTCTGATATCTGTCTTTCCCTAACCCGGCTGTCCTAGTCCCTGAGCCTCCTCCCCCTGCCCGAGTGCCTCCCTCCCCAGGCATCTCTGAAACATTCATAGCCTTCCTCCTCTCCTCCTTGCAGCCTCCAGAGCTGCTCCTGTCGCGCAGCCTGGCTGTCATCAATCACTGCCCAGTGGCGGCCTGGCGGGCCTCAGCCCTCTGCCTGCTTCCGCTGCGCCCCATCCATCTTGCAGAGCTCTCCCCGTGGCTCAGCAGGGACTGCCACATCCTGTCCCTGCTCCTGGCTCAGGAGCCCCCAGCCATCTCTGCCACAGATGTTTGCTCCCTGCAGGCACTTTGCAGAGCGATGCTTTTTTCCTAAAGGCAGCTGGGCTTCAGGCAAGAAGAGCATGAGCTTTGAAGCTGCTGGCGTGCCTTCATCGTGCACTGTCCCCGAGTCACTGTGTGACCCGCGGCCTCTTCTCCAAGATGAGAGTGGTCACTCTGTTACAGGGCTGTGGGGAGGATTCACTGAGGTAACGGGTGCTGTGCAACTTCTTTTTTTATTGAACAAGCCGAGAAGTGGCCCTGAAAAGGCCCAGCTCCAGGGTAGTGGCTCCAGGGTGGGGCCCCTTCCTCCATTTTTCATTCCATCTGCTCAGACAGTGCGCCTCCCAGGTGGGGCCTCAGCCCTGGTTTCAGCAGAACTGCCCTCGTTCCTGGGTGGCCTTCACCTGGCTCCTTCTTTCCCTGCCCAGAGCCTGGGAGGCCAGGGCTTGGGTGACAGAGCAGTAAGGACATGACATGAGCTTTGGAGTCACACAGACAGATCTGAATCCAGGCATGACCAAGATCCCTGAGCCTTGAGGTCCTCATCTATCCACGGGGGAAAAGACTATCCTAGCTTTGAGGAGAGGATTAAGGAAGATTCTGTCTACGAAGCTCCTGACAGGATGCCTGGCCCGCGACTGTTGTCCCACACGTGGTCACCATTGTTAGACGGAGGGACTGCTGTCAGACACTCACCAACACCTCCTCTTCCCCAGAGAAGAGCGGTTGTGACACATGAAAGGGAGACAGAGCAAGGAAGGCAGACCACAGCTACAAGGTGACAATTGTCAGGGATAAATCTCCAGCAGAGACCCGCTAATCGGCTCTTTGAAGACTGATTTTGTATTTAAAAAAAAGAGAATGTAACCCGAATCTGACAGGGTTGGCTAGCCTTGAGGCCAGTCTCAAGAACGCCATTCAATTCCCAAACGCCAACCTGGCCCTGGCGGCCTGGAAGTCACACAGGTAGCATGGGAAGTTTTTCTGGGGTGATGGAGGCGAGGCTCATGTCATTCTCCCTGCCCCCCCAGAGCCAATCACCTCCACGTCCCTTCATTCAAGTCTCTCTGCTCTTCCCATGCTCCTCTTCCTGAAGCCAGTGGCCTCCTACTTCCTGTCTCTGAAATCTCCATCTCCTCGGCCTGCCCAGCCCACCATCCTCCCCGGGCCTGGCACCCCCCACACAGCCCTCAGACACACACATGCCTGACACATAAAACATAGTCTTTAGCAAAAGGTAAGGGCACCTCCAACATTATGTGGGTGAGCCAGTGGGCAGAGGGAGCTTCCATTTATCCTGACACGAAAAAGACGAAGGTTATTTACAAAATGAAATAGCTTAGTTTGGGCACTGCCTTCTGCAAGCATCCTCTCTTGCCTCCCAACGTCCGAGCTGGGTTAGCCACTGGGTCCAGGCCCTCACTACGCATCTCCTTCCCCTTTCTGCACCCTTTTTATTCTGCAGCTGTGCCCCTAGGGACATCTTTCCTTTCTCCCTCTGTCCCAGGGACAGAGCTCCCCCCTCCACCCCATCCTCCCTCCCTGCGATCTTATCATCTGGCCTTTCTCACTCTCCAGTCCCTTCTGGGAGGTTTACTTGGGATCTTGTCTGCTGGGTGCATTGAAACACAGGTATAGGGCATGAATATCAGGCTCAGGGAGAGACACAAGGTCTCAGAACCTTCTGGTAAGACTTGCCCTGGGAGTTCCAGGGGTATAAATGGGCCTAGGCTGAGGCCTCTTTTGCTGGCTTTGTGTAAGCTGGTCCCACTACATCTGCTTTGCAGGATCTCCCAGGACCAGAACCCTGGGTTCTCCTATCCTGCCTTTCCTGGCTGATAATTCCACTAACACATCCTCTAATGTCTAAATAGCTCTCCATAGTTCACGAATCCCATTCAGAGCCACTTCCTGACTTAGAGAAATTGTACCTCTCTACCTCCCCCCGCCTTTTATAGATGACCAAACTGAGGCCCAGAGAGGGAAAGGAACATCCTTTATGGTTTTGGGATCTTTGAGTAAAGAATGTAAATTCACCAATGCAATTGGCATTGAGAATTCCTGTGCAAACAGGCCAGCCCTTGAATTTGCCAGCTGGACATCCCTGCTCTAGTTAGCTCAGCCGCCGCCTCCCTATTTTATAGACACGGTGCGGGTGTGTGCACTGAGGTCGAGGTCTGTTTAATGTCTCCTGCTCTTGAGTTCATGTCTGGGGTCTAGTTTACTCCTCATCACATCTGTGGAATAGGCAGGGGAGGCACAACTCCCATGTGACAGAACAAACCAAGCCTCACAGAGCTGACCAAGGGAGGCCCAAACAGAGTCCACTGCAGAGGGACCAAGAACGTATCAAGGTGGAACATGGCGCCGTGTGGGACACATGTTGGACTGGCTGCCGTGGGTAAAGACTGCCCATCACACGCTCTTCCTCATGCCCGCAGTTTCACTAATTAACTGGTTCTGTTTCCCATTAGCTGGGAGCATAATGGCCAATTGACAGAAGAATGAGTCCAGACAGAGGAGGGGGAGGATGCCAGGCAAAGGTCTGCACTCAGCCAGACCTGCCAGGGGCCTGGGGGGGGTGAGGTGGCAGGAACAGGGATGGGTCAGGTCTGGGGCCTCTCCTCCAGCTCCTCGAAGTGCAGGGCAAAAATATGACACGGTGAGTATGATAATAATTGCTAACGCAGGTGCCAGGCACTTTCTCAGCACTTTATGTGTATTTATCTCATTTAATTATTTAATGTTCAGAACAAGCTCTGATATGGGTACCATCATTAATAGTCCTATCTTATAGATAAAATAATAAGGCACAGAGAGGTCATACTATGGATAAAATTAGATGCATAGAAGGAAAAAAAGACTGGAATTTGCTAACTATGTTAGGAAGTAGCTTATGAATATTGTTTTCCGTAAGCCCTCTCTCCCAAACATTGTGTTATATTATATAACTATGAAAACAATTATTCTTAAAGGTCGTCTATGAAAGTGGAAAAAAAAAAAAGAATGGACAGCAGCCACAAGTAAAGAAAACATTGTATGTATTCCAAAGAAGAGAAGCTTTTACTTTTGGCCTAGGAATATGGTAGAGTGGTGTTTAGAGGCAGCCTTGGATGATGGGGTGTATTTGGATCTGCACAGAAGGGGCTAGGGTGTTTCAGGCTGAGGCCCAGTCTGAGCAAAGGCACGGAAGTGAGGACATGAAGGGCATAGCTGGGAACTGCCAGCAGGTCGGGCTGGTGGCTGCGTGATGCTGGGAGTGAGAGACCAGACTGGGTCTAGAGAGCCTGGAACGTAGGCCAGGGAATCCAGACTTGATTGCATGGATGGTGCAGAACCCCAGAAGGTTTCTGGGGCAAAACAGAACTCTCCATGTCAATCAATTTCCAAGGACAAAAGTGTGTCCTCTCTCAATATCTCTGGGACCTCACTCCTGCTCTCCATCACCTCTCCGCCAGGTCAGAGTAGCAGCTGCCCCACTGTTCTCCCTGCAGTTTCACTCAGCAGATCCATCTTCCAAATGGGAAAGTCCCCTTCACCTGTCTGACCACATCACACCTCTTGAACATCTTCCACTGTCTCCTACCATCTATGGGATCACGTCCAGATACTGCAGCATTGTGATGTCCTGGTAACCGGTATGGAGGGCAGACTGGAGGGGAGACTGTCACTCAAACCAGTTGATTAACTAAAGGAAAGATGATCCCTGGGGACAAAAAGCCCTGGAAGTGACCCTGCTTCTGTTGAGACTCTTTCCTGAGTGGGAGGTGTCATGGGCTCTTACAGTCCACGGAGGGTTAAAATCAGACATTCCCCCACGCCCTCCTCCCAGTGTGGAGGCCCTTCAGCTGGCTCTGGCTTTGTCATCTCATTCTAAGAGGGCATTGAATTTCTCTGTGTCTCAAAATGCCAGTCTGTGAGTGCGGGGTGGGGTATCAGGGTCAGGAAGCCAGAGGCATGAGCACAGGGACTGCTGAGTGGTCAGAGGGCTTCAGAGACTCCCGAGAGAATCCCACCGTTGGCAGAGAGGGTGGAGACAGCCAGGCAGAGGGGAATAAGTGAAGGTCAATTCAGTACTGGCCGTTGCCAGGCGAGTGATCAAGAGGATGATGGTCGTTATGGACTGAATGTTTGTGTCCCCCCACCAATTCATACGTTAAAACTCTGATCCCGGGGGCCGGCTCCGTGGCGCAGTGGTTAAGTGCACGTGCTCTGCTGCTGGCGTCCCAAGTTCAGATCCTGGGCGTGCACTGACGCACCGCTTGTCAGGCCATGCTGTGGCGGCATCCCACATAAAGTGGAGGAAGATAGGCATGGATATTAGCTCAAGGCCAGTCTTCCTCAGCAAAAAGAGGAGGAGTGGCATGGATGTTAGCTCAGGGCTGATCTTCCTCACAAAAAACAAGAACAAAAACAAAAACCTCTGATCCCAGTGTGATGCCTTTGGAGGTGGGGCCTTTGGGAGGTAATTAGGTCATGTGGTGGAGCCCTCATGAATGGGAGTAGTGGCCTTAAAACAAGAGACATGAGAGCTAGCTAGCTTTCCATCATGTGAGGTTGTAAGAAGGTAGCTGTCTGCAACCTGGAAGAGGGCTCTCACCAGAACCCGACTATGCGGGCATCATGATCTTGGATTTCCAGCCTTCAGAACAGTGAGAAATAGGTTTCTGTTGTTGGTAAGTCACCCAGCCTGTGGTACTTTGTTATAGCAGCCCAAGCTGACTAAGGTAGTGGTGGTGATCATCCAGGAGTGATGTATGTCTGCTATGCCTGCCACTATTCCTCACACTTACATTCACTGCCACATTTAATTTCCTCAATAATCCTATGAGATAGGTACTCAAATCTCCACTTTATAAATAAAGGAGCGGAGGCCCAGAGAAGTCAAGGACCTGCCCAAGTCACACATCTGGGGTGTGGTGGAGTTGGGATCCAGAGCCCAGGGGGTTAACATTGAACTTAAAGGTTTGGATAGGTGGGATGGCTGATGCCAGAGCCTGAACCCTCCCCCACCATGCCACACTCTGAGCTAAGAAGTGAAGACCCAGTCAGATGCCAGGTCCACAGGAAGGCACACGACCAGCCCTCAGTCACCTCTCTGCCTCGGGCCTTGGGTTCAGCACCATAAACAGCTCCTCCTAGCCTGGGAATAATCCAGGCGGCAGTGGGTCTCCTAAACTTGCAGCACTCACTGTTCAGAGTGGAATTTCACACCATTTTAGGCTACCTGAGCTAGAAGAAGCCTCCAGTCCAACCCCTTCCCTGTGTAAAGGCGGAAACTGAGACTTCAGGGAAAACTGGGCAAGCTGCACTGTTCTAGGCACCAGGAATATGGCAGTAAACAAAAGTGATAAAGATCTTGTCTTAAAGGTGCTAACATTCTAGTGGGATCTCAGGACCCTGCCAAGTCTGTATTCTCCCCTGCCTCCACAGCAGGAGTCCTCCCTGACCATTGAGTCTTCCAGACACTGCCTCTTCCAAGGAGCCCTTCCAGAGTGACCACCCTAGCCTCGCTCTCTCTGCCCCCACTGAACATGCACAGGGCCTGAAGGATAATCGGTTCAAGTGGCCACATTGTTCTTTCTTGTCAGGAGCTGCCAGTAATTCCTGGTTTCAGGTTGGAGGTTTGTGTTTCCACCCAGAGAACAGGGGGCATGTCTTCCTCTCCTCCTCCCTGCTCAAAGCACTAGCACAGGATAATATGCAGCACAAACCCTCAAGGACATTTCTTCTTCTTCTTCTTCTTTTTGTGAGGAAGATCGGCCCTGAGCTAATATCTGCCAATCCTCCTCTTTTTTTGCTGAGGAAGACTGGCCCTGGGCTAACATCCATGCCCATCTTCCTCCACTTTATATGGGACGCTGCCACAGCATGGCTTGACAAGCAGTGTGTTGGTGTGCGCCCGGGATCCGAACCGGCGAACCCCGGGCCGCCGCAGCAGAGCATGCGCACTTAACCGCTTGCGCCACTGGGCCGGCCCCAAGGACATTTCTTCTGATGATGGACACTGCAACCTCTCCATAGCCTATTTTCCAGTGTGCCTCGGTTCTTAAATGCATCATTCATTCACTCAAGGAAAGAAAAGTTCAGGACTCCCAGAAAAGACCTGGGAATCATTCACTAACAGGAGAGAGTTCCAGCAGGGGAATGGATGAGATCCCACAGGGAGAAGAAAGGCAGACGTGGGGAAGAGACCTGAGGACATGAGAACCTTGGAGGAACCCACATCTGGGAAGTGGGCAGGAGCGAGGGAGACAGCAGAAGCCATGAGAGGGGCAGGAAGAAACTCACAGCAAAGTGCATTTTGGAAGCCAGGAGGAAAAGCAGATGTCTGGCACGTGCCAGAGAGAGGGCAGGCCTGCAGAGAAGCACGGGGCATGCTAAGTAGGACTCTGGCGGCCACAGCCCAAGCAGGTCATGGGAGTCTTGGGGGTGGAAGTAAGATCTCCACGGCTTAAGGAAGTGGAGACAATGCATGCCACACGCTCTACAGAAATTTAGTTGATAAAGGACAGGAAATTGTGGGCTGGTAGAGTTGAGGAAGGACAGGAATTAGATAGAGGAAGGAGCCTGGGAGAGGGAAGAATGGCAGGCTTGAGCTAGAAGGGGTGGTTCTCACTGGAAGGGCCCAGAGAAGGGGGCAGGTAGAGTCCAGAGGATGGAAGAGGAAAGGGTGGGTGATTTTCCAGAGGAGCTCTGGGGAGATTTGATCAGAGAGCCAGGACCTCCTGGGCTTAGAGGTGGTGCGGGCAGCGGCAGGAAGATCTGGTTGTCTGAGCTTTGAGAAGGGAATACAAGGGCTGCCCTGGGTCTTGGGGGAACGGCCGGGCATCACTAAGGGGGAAGGCACAGGAGTTGCTGAGGGATGCCATGTGTTCTGGAAGGCTGAAGAGAAGGAGGTAGGGGTGGCATCACCTCCTCCCACCAGAGGGGAAGAGAGAGCCTGGCTCCCCCAGGTCACCCATGAGGCCCCCACAAGCCTGGGGCTGCCCTGACTCTGCTTTTGCTCCAACCAGAGCCAGAGGGGAGGTTTAAGTGGGGTAAGGTGGGACTCCCCCACCCTTGGAGCCCCCAGCAGGGCAGAAAGGGCTTCCCCGCTGCCCATCGAGGGCCGTCTACTCTCGCAACGCTGTTTGCTCTCAAGAGAGCGGCAACAGGAAATCTCTCAGAAGCTGCTGTCTTCGTTTTATTTTTGTGTGTGTAAAGGTGACAGGGATTTAGGGCCTCACCAAGATGCCCGCTCCCCAGACTTGTCCTACTCCGGAGAAATGACCAACAGCAATCACGCTAGCCTCTCACCCAGCCTCAGTTTCACTTCCAGCCAGAGAAGCATGGGATGCCAGAACTGGGTGGGGAAACAGGCTTAGCAAGAGGAAGGTCCATCTGAGGGGATTCAACAGTGCTCCCTGAGCGCACACCGCCTGCCACCAAGCCAGGCTCGGACTTGCAGGGATAGGCTGCTCCGCCCAGCCTGCTCCACTGTGTGTGGTTTTCAGGGGTTTCCAGTTCTCCTAACTCTGAGACAAAGCCCATCTCCCAATAACTTCTCTGTTTGATCTAAAGCCCACCCAGGGGGCCCACAGCCCACCGTGCTCCTCTTGTCCTAGGACAGGGTCTGAGATGGGACCCTCACAGAGGCCTGCTCTCTTTGCCTGACAAGCCTTTGGCCACGTTAGCAATGACATTTGGTGTGTTGGTTCTTGCTTTCCAGAGTACGTGCTTACTCTGGAGCCCATTTTACAGGTGGTAATGGTTGGGGCAGAAGGATTAGCCTGGGGTCACACTGTCAACCAGTGACAACATTGGGGTCAGAACATTTCCGCAGTTTCCTCATTTGCAGCCCAGGACTCCCTGGGCTGAGATCTGGGCTGCCTCCCCTCCTGTTGGACCATAGATAGAACCTGGGGTGGCAATGGGGGGGTGTCCTTCGGTGATGCCCAGGTGCCCAGTGGCCCCTGCCTTGTGCCTGAGCCAGGCCAGAGCTTCCATGGACAAGGTCCATGCGTCCATGCCCTCTCCTCCACCTCTTCTTCCTTGCGCCCTACCAGCCCCCAGAGGGAGCACTTGGAAAGGCCCCTCTGGCACCCAGCGGCTGCCTGAGTCTGCGCCCTCTTCCTCCCCTGCCCCCACAAAGGCCAGCACTCACGTGTGGCCCCCAGGCCGGTCCTCCCTGCTGAGCATTCCCTCTTTCTCCATCAGCATCTGCCGGAAAGTCCTGACCTTCTGCCGGGTCTCCTCCTCTGAGTACCTGTGGGGACACAGGGAAGGTGAGGGCTGCTCTCTTGGCTGTGGTTCCCTCTCCGCCTGCCCCCCTCCCAAGTGCACTTTCCAGCTTGCAATGACCTGTCCACAATCACACCACCAAGCAAGGCTGGGGGAGGTCAAGGCCTACCCATTTTGCACCAAACCAGCCAACTAACAAACTGTACAAACAAACAAACAACCAGCCAAACAAACAAATACATTTCTTCTTTTTAGGAAGAGTTGTTCCCAGAGGTGGGGAGACTGACCAGGTGAGGGTGTGTCCTTCCTCCTGGCCCTCCTCCACCCTCAGGGCCAGCCTCCCTCCCACATCCAGGCTGCAGTCACTCTCTGGACACATTTTAGGGGAGAAGTGAGAATCTTGGCCTTGACACACACATGGCCTTTTCTGCTTTCCTGGCCTCAAGCACATCTGATCCTCAATAGACTTGGGAGGTCCTCAGAGCATCCCCACCTCTGCCAGATCAAGGCTGCCAAGTGGCTTGCCTGGGATCCCAGTGCTAGATCCATTGCTTCCCGGCTTGGGCTGGGTGATGGAGGAAGCCTGGGCCTGGAATGGAAGCTCCTGACTTCTCTCCTCCCCTCTCCTTCCCTCCCTGAGCCTAGTCTCAGGCTGGGGACCAAAGTCCAGAATTATCTACTCCTTGTCCTTGCTCCCACACCCTGGGGTCAGTCGTCATTCTCTCCCACTGCACCACTGTGACAGCTGCTGCCCAGGCCTGCCAGCTCCTCTGGCATTTCCCGCTCCGGCCTGTGTCCATGCTGCCACCCGGGGGCAGGGGTGAGGGGAGGTCTGCGCTCACCCAGCCCCTTGCTTGTGCCTGGCAAGCAGCAGGGCTCCAGTGTCTGTTGCTGTATGAATCTTAGGATCCTAGACCCCTCAGTCTCTCCTTCCTGGGCTGAAGCTGATTGTCCTCTACAGAAAACATGTGGCAAAATAGGAACGGGGGTCCTGTCTTGTCTCTGTCATCTGCTCACCATCCACTCTCTGTCCACACAGCAGCCCAGCCCTCCCCCCTCAGCTTGTCCATGAAAATGGTACATTGTTCCCTCTTAGGGACCCCATCTCTTGTCTCCCTCCTTCTCTCCTCCCTCCTTTCCTCTCCTCCTTCAATGAGCACTTGCAGATTGACTCAGCCTCTTTGGAGAGCGATTTGGCAGTTCTCTTCAAAAGCCTTAAAAAATGAACACATCCTTTGACTCGTAAATTAACTTCCAGGTTTACTCGGTTGAAATAATCACGGCTGAGCACAAAGATGTGACTCATGGCATGTTTACAGCAGGATGGATACCCCGACCAGGTGAGGTGCCAACATTTGTGTTTCCATAGCAACCTGTCCCTCCTGGATCCTGGCAGGTGGTTCATGCACTAGTCATTATCTGTTGACTCCTCTGTATCCTGCCCTGGCCTGGGAGTTCCCTGAGGGCAGAGACCTTGTCTGTCTGGATGGCCATTGTGTCCCCAGCACCTGGCACCTTGCCTGCCACATGTGGCATCCAAAATTTTTTGACAAATGAGTGACTGGGGCTGGAGAGGCATTGAAGAGTTTGAAGGTTGGATTTTCATTCTGGAAAGATGGCTCTGGTGGCCATGTGGCTGGAGGAGAGTGACCTGGAGGCAGGGAGGCTGGCATTGGGCCACTGCAGGGGTTCATGCAGAAGTCAGTGCAGTCAGAGCTAGAGAGTGGGACCGATTGAATATGTCAGGGGGTTAGATGAGGAGCACTCCCTGCTTCTTAACCAGGTGTCCCCTGACCCCCAGCTAGGGTCTGTCCCCTTGCAGCTTCAGGCACCGTGTGGCCCACCATAGGCAGGATTGAGTCCTGCCTGGCAGGGGGAGGGGACCATAGCTTCCAACCCCCCACCCTCACTGCAAGGGTGGGTGTGCGTATGGCTCAGGCCATGCTGTGCTGACACCCCTAGCCCAGCGTCACCAAGCTCTGGGTCTCAGCTCATAAGTGTCCGCCTCAGTCCGTGTTTAGCTTCAGGCCTGGGCATTTGGCTGGAGGTCCCTTGGCCTTGCTTGGTGGGCAGCGCAGAGCCCTCAGTTGGCTGGGCTGGCCTGCTGCCCAGGAAAAAGGGGTGATGGCCCCTTTCTGAGCAGTGGAGGCACAGAGGAACTGCTCCTGTCTCAACTTCTCCTCAGGAGACCAGCTTGTTATTGACCCAAGAACACACAAAACAGCACAGGCCCATCAACACTGCCCAGCCCCTGACTCATAGACCCTTGGGAGGGAGACACAGGCTGGCTGAGCCATTGGCATGGGGCCCTGGACCTGGCGGGGTCAGGGAGCAGATGGCCCAAGAGCAAGGCTGGGCCAGATCTCCAGTTGGACAGGAGGGGCTTCAGGCCGGGGTCCCGGCCCCCACGCCTGGGGTATTATAGAGCACATGAGGCTGGGAGGTGGGAGCAAAGCCCAGGGTTTCATGTGCCCAGGGCAGGACATGTGCAGGGACTCAGGGCTCAACACAGAGCCGGTAGCCTAAGGCAAGCTGACTGACCCCAGCACCTGCAGCTGGGGCTGGGTGCTGGGTGAAGCAACTCGGAGGCTTGGGGAGGACCCCCCTGTGCCCCAGGGCATCTTGCTGGGAGAAGCTGCGGACCCAGGATGACATCTGGTTATTGGGTAAAGCGGTCTCAAGTGCGACCACCAGCTTCAAGTCTCCCCTCCCCTAGTATCTCTTGAGGTCAACCCTCAGCTGAGGCCACATGGGACAGTGACTGAGGGGCGAGGCAGGAGAGCCCGGCAGTGCTGTTTATGAATCGGGCACCCCCACGTCCTGGCTCTGACCTTGGACGAGTCCATACGCTTCTCTCAGCCTTAGCCTCTACATCTGTGAAATGGACTCCTAACCTGCCTTTCACAGTTGTCATAAGGGTTAGGGGAGATGATGCATATAAAGCACGTTGCGCATCCCTGGCACACAGTAGGTGCTCAATAACTGGTACTGATGGAGCATTATTTGTCCCAGAGCAGTGGGGACAGAAGGTCTTGTCGTCCCAGGCTCCTTGCCTTTCTCCACCCAGACACCTGCCAGGTGAGCGTGGTCCCAGGTCAAGAATCACCTGGGCCTCTTCTCTCTGCCCCCTCTGGAGGCGAAGGTCGAGATGGAGAGGGAGGCTGTAGTGGATGGAGGCGGCATTTCCTGCCAACTGAAGGCCAGGGAGGAGGACCGGCTGGCTAAAAGTCAGGGCCTTGGACAGGGGAGGGAAGGATAGAGGGCAGTGATGTCTGTCTCAGTGCTCCAGCCTCCTGGCTCAGATGCCCCCCAGCCAGTCTGGCTCCCTTATCCCCACTCCACTCTATGGGAAGGACGTGCCAAATTCATTGTTGCTTTAGGAACTTCCTAGCTCGCCCTCTGGGGCTGGGGTGAGGGGATGCTGCATTTTAAAAGAGGTGCCCAGAGTGGAAAATGTTTACTTCTGCCTGTCCTCGCCCAGATGCAGCACTTCCTAGCGAGTCACTTCCTGGTCATTAATTTGATCTTCACTGCAGCTCGGGGTGGGGGTGGGGCGGGGCGGCCTTCCTATTCCCATTTTACAGATGAGGAAACAGAACAGGGAGAGGCGAGGCTCAGAGCTCCCAGCCCAGCTGCTCCAGAGCTGGCGCGGGAGCTGTCCAGCATCACGTCCAGCCGTCCGGGGGCTCTGTCCCCGGCCCCGCGGTGATCGCTGGCTGCACGCAGAGGCTGCCCAGGGAAGGCGACTCCAAACGCAGCATCAATCACCAGCGAATTAGCCGCCATCCATCAATATTAAGGGAGGGATTGCCTTTTAATGGGGCCAAAGAAGGTGTGTTCCTGTGACTAGTGGGAATATTTGTCAAATGCCTCAGAACCTGGCAAATAAATGCGAATGAACCAGTGTTTCTAGAAATGGATATTAATGACTGGATTTTATAAGAGGGCAAGGGTCCCTAGTATTTGTGGAGCCCTTTCTCGGGACTGGCGGGGGTGGGGGAGCCCTGTATGTGCCTGAGTCCACAGGACTCAGGACAACTCTCTATTTTATAGGCGAGGAACTGTGGCTTGCCCAAGGTCACAGGCCAGGGCTGGAAGTCTGGATTGTTGGGTTTCAGAGTGGCTGTGCCCTCCATTGACCAGGCTGCACTAAGGGATGGGGAAGGGAGGGGGATGGTAATTTGTGGGATATTCAGGCCTAAGGACCACTTCCAGCCAGGGCTTGGGTGGGGGAAGGGGCCCTGAGTGAACATCCTGAGACCTAGTGGGTGCTTCCCAGAGGCATGGGTCCTTGATGTCGGGCGACTGACACCAAGGACATGGCCAAATGCTAGCTCCCTCTGCCTGAGGCTGCCCTCATCTGATAATGACCCTCCCATGAGCAGTGAGGGGCTGGGGGCTTATGGAGGAGGAGGAGATTCAGCCAGGGGGAGGAGGCTTGGGGAGGGAGAGAGGTGCCATGAAGGAGGGCCCTTGGGAGTTCCCTGAAAGGATGGGACTCTGCGAAGGGGAGGGCTTTCAGAAGGAAGGTTCTGTGAAGAGGAGGGGGCTTACTGAGGGGAGATGGGCTCAGGAAGGGGGTGGGGCTCTGTGAGGGGAAGGGGGTAGTTTCTGAGAATAAAGCACAGAGGGCTGGCCCTCTTCTGTCCCAGTCATCTGTCCTGTTCTCCAACCACGCCCACCTGCCCACACTCCCTCCCCACCTGGAGGCCCCCAACTCAGCAGGATTTGGTATAATTAAGGTCTGGGCCTCTCTCTGTAGGAGGACACTTCGCTCTGCCCCTGCTCAACCCTGCCCCTGGGATCTTGTTTCCTTTGCCCACACCCACAGCTCATCAAACCTGTTTTCACTGCCAGCCGGAGGCCTCCTTTCTCTCTGTGTTCAGCAGCATTCCATCTATCCACCCTTTTCCACAGGGACCCTCCCCACCTCCAACCTGGTCCCCAGCTGGAGGTGAACACCAAGTCCCTGTGCCCCATTCTTTTTCTTACAAGCGGCCCTGCCTGGCAGCCCACTGGGGACCCTGGATCCTGGCCTAGCCTTGGCCCTGCCTTCCTGATGGCCTTAGGCCCGTGACTGTCTCTGTCTGAGCCTCAGTGTCTTCCTGGGCTCCACAGGGATTGTGAGCCATGTCTTGGCTGCTTCCTGGGAAGCCCAGGAGGCCTGAAGGGACAGACAAAGGTGTGGCTTGGAAGGACCGTTGTGCATAGGCTGTCGGCCCTGATGTGGCTCCAGGCCCCACTGCACTGAGCATTCCTGGCACTGACAGTGCCAGTCTGATGAGTGGGCCTTGCTCCCCACTTCGACTCCCTCAACAGGCAGCCCACTGGTTTCAAAGTATTGCGGGCAGACGCTAAAGGGAGCCTTGGGACCACCAGCTTTCCTTGGAGCTGCAAAATGGGAATGGTTTTGTACTCTGTTTCTTTGCCTCCAGCTCCATGTGTGAGAGCTGTCCTGTCTCCACTGGACTTTCAGGGGAGGTCCCTAAACCCTTACTGACTGGTCAGTGCACAACCCCTCCTTCTCAGCCTGACGAACTCCTACTCATCCTTCAAGGCCCATTCAAATGTCTTCTCTCAGAATCTCTCCTCTGAGCTCCTGAAGCACTTGGCCCTCTCCTGTCCTGTCCTGCAACCATGATTCTAATCTGTCTTATGGTGGAGCTGGCTGTTAACATACTTGTTTTCCTTCTGAGATGGGGAGGGAATACGGAAGTGGGGGTCGGTCTTTGAGGAAGTGACTCCAATCCGGCTCTGGGGCCCAGCATTGCCCAGCACAGTATCCGGCACACTGCGTGCCTCTGTGACTGCTTCTGGACTAGACGGCGGGAGCCTAAGCTTGCGGTGTGGCTGCGCTGGGAGCCTGCACGTGGAGTCGGCCCATTGTGCTTTCTTGCCTGGCTGCCACACCTGCTTGGCCGAGTCCAGGAAGCTTGACCCACCCATATTACAGAAGGAAAAACCGAGGCCTTGAGTTGCCATTGATGTTGCCATGCCTCTCTCCCCCACTGGACTGGATGTTTCTGGAAGGCATGGACTGTGTCTCCTTGGTTTCTGTGAATCTGAGCCCAGTTCAGAGTTTGACAAAGAGCAGGCGTTCAAGACAGCTTATTGGTTGAATAAACAAGGTTCGGCTGACCTTGCCCCCGTTCCACCCGGACTGGTTCAGGCTCGGCGCGTTGCCTGACTCGGCTCCGGGAACCCGACGCTCGCCCGGCCCGGCCCCGCCCCGCCCCGCGGCCGGCTCACCCCTGCTCCTCCATCATCTCCTGCAGCTCCATGCACTTGAGCTCCACGCGCCGCTTGCGCTCGTGGTCCAGGATCTCGCGGTGCGCGCGCTTCACCAGGCCCGGCTCGGCGGCGCGCAGCTCCTCCTCGGCCCGCGGCCAGGCCCCCGAGGAGGCGCCGGGCTGCGGGAAGCCGTTGGCCGCGTCGGGCGGGGACGGCATGCTGGCCGCCCCGTTGTTCACGGTGGAGGACATGGCGGCTGGCCCCGGAGCCGCTGGCCTCGGCCCTGCGGGACAGACACAGACACCAGGCGGGATGGTCACCTCTCGGTCACCTGCTAAGCTCCTCTCTGCGCGGGTTAATCCTGGAGATTTAAAGGCCCACGCATGGCTCTAATACGCTTCTTCTCAGCTGCGGAGGGGGCGGCCGGCAGATTCGCACCTTTGGGTCACAGCTCAGGGCAGGAGGGGGGCCCAGACACTGGACTTTCCCCGTCTGCAAGGCGGGTGGATGCAGGCGGGACTTGATGGCCTCTGAGGGCTCTTGGCTTGGAATGGAGTCATCTCCAGGGACTTAGTAACCGCCTAGGGCTGCCCTCTCTGCCTTGTTCCAGTTCCGGAGCCTGAACGTCTAGTCCCTGCTTACACGCCTGCTTGCAACTACCAGGCAACCAGATGCATCTCTGGGGAAATTTTTCTTTTTCTTTTTTTTTTCAGGCTTGGTTTAAATCCCCTCTTCCCCCCAAGCCCTGATTGTCCTGGCTCTGGCCTGTGGGGTCACAGACGGCACATGCTCCTGCCTCCCGGTCTCTCCAGGGGCAGCCCTGCAGAGATGGGAGAATGGTGCCTCCTCCAGGCTCCAGTCCATTCCCTCCACAGATGCAGTTTTCAGTTCCCACTTTGATCCGGCCAACTTTTCCAAAGCCGACATTCCAGATGGGGGCCTGATTCAGACAGAAGCCCACAAGTCTGTCCCCTCATTTGTTCTGGAAACACTGCTTCTGAGGATGTGACCAAAAGTGGCACTGACATTAGCTTTCCAGACAGCCACCACCTCCTGCAGGCTCAGGGTGATTGGGAGTCAGCATGGCTTGGGAGGTAAGCAGCCCTGGCTCCATGCTAGGCTCAAAGTAGAGCATGTGCCTGCACGCATGTGCACACACATGCATACACACCAAGGACCTATCTTGACAGAAGGGAGGCACCTCCCGAGCTATTTCCATTTCCTTTCTCCAAGGCTCTGCTAGTTGCTAAGCAACAGAGAGGCCTCCTTCCCAGGGAGTGGGATTGGAGGGAGGGAAGGGGCAGAGGGAGGTGGGAAGAGAAGAAGGGATGGGTATGTCTGGATATCCTGTTTGGGGAGTTCCCTGCCATACAACCCCCCAACTACACACTCGCTTCACTCAACACGCACTGGCCTCAGAGTGATGGAGGTAGGGGGTGTTCAGAGCCACAAAGACTGGAAGGCAGAGAAGAGAGAGGGAGACCATGAGAGGCACAAGAGTTTCTGAAGGGGACAGAGTGAGAGGCAGTGACAGTGGTGATGAGAACATAAGCTCCTTTCATATGTCCATCCTCCTAAATCCCAAGTGCCTGGGTTCTAGGCAAGGCTCCTCCATTCTTTGCTGTGTGACCCCGAGGGCGTCACTGACTCTCTCTGAGCCCCACCTGTGCCTGGGAGCATCATCCAGACTCTTCAGGAGAGGAGGGCTCTTGAGGGTTTACAGACCAAAGCCGTTCCTCTAACCTCTCTCTCCACCCCTAAACCCTGTTGGCTTCCCACCTCTGTCCCAGCCCAGCCCTGCACCTTGGCTCCACCAGGGTTTCTCCTGGATTGCCCCACAAGCATCACCCACTCACCAATCCCCACACAGAGCTCTGGGAGCCCTGCTCCCCCCACTCCCCCGCCTCGGCCATGCTGCTTGTCTCACGGGTGACCCTTCGGGCTGTTGGTCACCTGAGCCAGGGACATGTGTGGAGCTTGGAGACCCTTGTTGCCCTGACCCACTGCAGCTCACCTGTCACCAAGTTTGGTCCCTCATCCCCTCTTCTCTACATCCACATTTATCCACTTGCTCCCCTCCCATCACCACCTCAATCCGAGCCCCTCACTCTGGTCTATTGCCTCAGCATCCTGCCCGGCCACCTTGCCCTCTCTGTCCTGCTTCATCAGTAACCTGGGAGATTGGTCCAGGAGCAAATCAGACCATGTCATGCCCTGATTAACAGCCTCTAGTGGCCTCCTGTTGCCTTGGCTTAAAGTCCTGATGTGGCCTGCCTTCTGGTCTAGCCGTACCCCCGCCCCCCCGACTCCCACATAGATTCTCCATCTCTCTTGCATCCAGACTTTTCCATTTGCTGCTCCCTTTCCCTGGGATACTCTTCTCCTGACTCCTATGTGTCCTCAGAGTCACTGCTCGTAGGCATTACCACCTTCTGGAAGCCTCCCCTTAGCCCTCTGCCTGGTGCTACCCTCCCAGGGCTCTTGCCACTCTCTGTTGTCACCGTGGGCTCACAGGTCTGGCTCCCTCTGGGGTGGGGTCAGCTTAGCTTTCAAATCCAGCAAAGTGCCTGAGCAGGCGAGGCTCAATGCACATGGGATGAACCAGAGAGGACAATCACAACGGGAGGTGGGATAGAGCAATGCCTGGCATGGTGGTTATGACAGGCTGCAAGACCCCTTTGCATTCTCCCTTATGCTGTCTGGCAGCTTCATCCCTTGCTACACCTCCTCCTGCAGCCGACATTGAGCCTTGCTCATCTGTCCCCAGAGATGAGCTCTCACCCCTTTGTGCCTTTGTTCATGTGATGCCCCTGTGATGGAATTCTGTTTTCCCTCTTCTCCACCTGGGGGACTTCTACTCCTCCTTCAGGGCTCAGCCCAAATTTCACCTCCTCTGGGAAGCCGTCCCTGCTTCTGAGGAAGGATGAGTCATCCCCTCCTTGTGCTCCCACAGCTTTTGTCCTCACCTCTTTAGACACTCTTCGACTTGTTTGCATCTGACCCCTGTTCTGGATGGCTAGCTCTTGGAGGGGAGGGAGTCCCTTCATTCTGGCTCCCCAGAGCCTACCCAGCACCTGGCAAGGCAGGAGGCGCGCTGAGGGTGTGGGGAGAAAGCGCTCAGGCCCCAGCAAGAGCCCATGAAGCCAGGACCTGAGCGATGCTGCTCTGCATGCTCTCCCTCTGACATGGGCGAGGCTCCCTGGCCTAGAACTTGGCCTGAGCTCCTGGAGGCCAGGGGAGGAGAAGCTGGTGGGAGCAGTTCTGAACGCACTCAGGTCTCTAGACCCTGAGAAATTCTATCCCCAGCACGAGGAGAATGCCTGGGTGAGACTGCTGGGCTACTGAGGGCCATCTTTCCGGATTGACTGAGGAGGCCAGGGGATGGGTGTGAAGGCACGGGGGCAGATGCAGTCTGGATTCACTAGGACAGATGGCGGAGTCTACCAACTTCACCTGGCAACTTGGCGGGCAGCAGGCAGGAATCTGAGGCAGGTTATTAAAAGGACGACCCCCGGGGCCGGCCCCGGGGCATAGCAGTTGAGTGCGCACGCTCTGCTACTGGCGGCCCGGGTTCGGATCCTGGGCGCGCACTGATGCACCGCTTCTCCGGCCACGCTGAGGCCGCGTCCCACACACAGCAACTAGCAGGATGTGCAACTATGACATACAACTATCTACTGGGGCTTTGGGGAGAAAAAAAGGAAAAAAAGGAGGAGGATTGGCAATAGATACTAGCTCAGGGCCGGTCTTCCTCAGCAAAAAAAGAGGAAGATTGGCGTGGATGTTAGCTCAGCACTGATCTTCCTCACACACACACACAAAAAAAGGATGACCCCTGAACCCCTAGAGGAGGGGCCAGACCCCTAAGAATGAGTCGTTGCACACTAATCCCACTTCCTTCCAAGTTGGGGTGGCTGGGCCAGCAGACCAGGGGGGTCACGGTGGGCACATGGTCTCTCTATAAGGCATCGGACATTGTCTTTTATGGAATCCTTGTGAGATTGCATAAGGAGAGAGAGAGATGCTGTGCTGTGGGAACTAATTCTGTACTGTTGTAACTGGTGGATAGATTGACCTGTGCCCAAAGGGAGCTGATTAATGGGTCAATGTCCCATTAGATGGAGGTATTCGGTGGAGGACCATCGGGCTCTCTCCTCACCCATGTCTGATCCAACATGTTCACCTTGAGTGGATGGAACGTTGATAACCTGATGATCAGATTCACTGAGGATGGTACCCGGGAAGGCTCATAAATACAGAGTCAGAATCTAAAAGGGCTCAACAGACTGGAAAGATGGAAGGAATCTAAGAAGGTGAAACAGAATGGTGAGAAGTGCCTCATTCTGAAGCTGGGTCCCAAATTACCTTTCTAAAATTGGAAAGGGTAGACATACTTTAGAAGCAGCTTATTTAAGAAGGACTTAGGAGTTTTCAATGGTCACAGACTCAATTTGAGTCAATATCATGATTTGGCTGCCAAAAGTGCATGTTGTCTTTGGCTACATCAACAAAAATACGATGTCTAGAATGGGGAGATGATAAGAATATACAGGCAGTCAGAATCCTTATCTTCAAATACTTGAAGGATTGTAGAGAATTTAGGCCAAACCTGGCTGAATCTGCTGGGGAGCTTGCTAGAAGTAGGTAGGGTTGCCAGATTTGGCAAATAAAAATACAGGATGCACAGTCAAATTAAATTTGAATTTCATGAATTTCATATTTAGGACATCCTTATACTAAAAAAAATTCATTGTTTATCTGGAATTCAAATTTAACTGGGTGTCTTATATTTTGTATGTCAATCCTACCTGGGACCAACCCCAGACCTACTGAATCAAAATCTCTGGGGGTGAAATTGTTAATATTCCAGAGTGATTCTGAGACAGACTATTCCTGGACCAGTGATTGGGAGCCGGTGTCTAGAGCAGCAGTTCTTAAGTTTTATGAGGCATCAGAGTCACCTGGAGGCTTGTTAAAGCACAGATGACCAGGCTCCACCCCTAGAGTTCCTGATTCAGTAGATCTGGGGTGGTGTCTGAGAATTTGCATTTCTAACAAGTTCTCAACTGACCCCAATGCTGCTGGTCCTTGGACCACACTGAGAGGAGCAAGGACCTAGCCAATCTGGGTGGTTCCAGAAGAAAGCCAGAACTTCTGCAGGGGAGTCATCTAGAGTGGACTTCAGCTAAGTCCAAGAAAGGGTTTTTTTTCCCCCTAGCAATCAGAACTTAAAAAAAAAAATTAAATGGTTCAGTTCGTCCCAGAATGAGTGAATTCCT